GATGAGCGTCCACGGCTGGGATGTATCGGGGAGACGTAAGACTCGTGTTCGGGGGACTCGGGTTGGCCTGACGGGGCCATCACGAGAACGACGAGACCAAGTCTGACATTTGACGCGAGCTCCCGCTGCAAGCATCCCACGAAAACTGGACCGCCACAATCCAGGACGCGCGCGTCAAAGAGCATCGGCAGACCCGAGTTCCCGCGCACTCGAGTCTCACGTTCCCCCGAAAGTGCGCAAAACCACCGCTGGGGCCTGGGGCATTGATCCTCGGGGACCTCGGCAGGCGGTGACGTTGGACATCCTCTGCCACCCCAAGGCCTCTCACCGCCCGCCGGGGTCCACCAAGGTCGGTCCCCCAGGAGGCGGTTACGGATCATCCCAGAACTCCGACGTCGTGCTGCTTCACCGAACTGGCGGCGCGAACAACGGGGTGGGGGCAGGGGGGAAGGCTTCTTAGAAGGAGGCTGCTCCCTAGAAGGTGCCGGCCTTGCATCTGTAGACAGGGCCCGCGCCTTCCAAGAAGCAGCCTCCCTCTCAAAGGCCTTCCCCTCTCTCCCCTCTCCCTCTCTGCGCGTGGCCGGCAGAAATCTGGAACCCTTCCACGGGACCGGCTTCGAACCCCGAGTCGTTCTGCTGGCGGTCCCGGGGCCCAGCCAGGGCCCATGGATGCCAAGAACTGCTCACGCCGCCTGCCGCGCTTTGTCGCGACGAGAGGCGGCGCGGGAGCCTCCCGGGGTGCGTCCTGACCCGTACCTCGAGGCGACTCCAGTCGTGGCGACGAGGGCCCCCCAGAGGCCCGAGAAGACGAAAACGAGGTCAAGGCGGCGGCATTGGTATGCACCTCTCTTTCCGTGAGATCCGACGACGCGGAAAAATAGCAGCATCGCGAAAAATCACGACCATAGCCCCAAGACGCCATCTTTTCTGCACCACCCTGTGAGCTGGATGGATCTGTAAGGGTCCCAGGGAGCGCAGTCGGGCAGAAATGCCCGGCTCTAAGGCAGTGCGGCGCCGGGATCTCTTGACGGGCCCATTCTCCACCACCGCAGCCACAGGCAGGACCCGGGAGAAGGGAGGATTGAAAGGTTCTCCCCCTCCTCCTCCTCCTCCTCCTCCTCCTCCCCCTCCTCCTCCTCCTCCTCCTCCCCTCCCCCTCCTCCTCCTCCTCCTCCCCCTCCTCTCCTCCTCCTCCTCCTCCTCCTCCTCCCTCCTCTCCTCCTCCTCTCCTCCTCCTCCTCCTCCTCCTCCTCCTCCTCCTCCCTCTGGTGGTACACTGGTTGGACCTCGGCCCCTCCTCCCTTTCCTCCTCCGCGCCTCGGAGGAGCCCGCCGGCCTCCGCCCGCGGGCAGCGGCGCGCCGAGCCCGCCGCCCGCCGCCGCAGCCCGCAGCCGCGGCGGCTCCGCGCGCGCCGAGGCCGCGCGCCGAGGCCGCCGCGCGGGCTCCCCGCCGCCCCGGGGCCGCGGCCGGCCGGGGCGCTCGAGGGCGCGGGCCGCGGGAGGGAGGCCCCACGCAGGATGTTATGAAGAAAAGCCTGGAGGCCTCGCGTGGCAACTTGAGGCCCGATGTACCTCGGATCCGCGTCGGATTCACGTCGGAGTTACGTTGGGCTCGGGTCGGATTACGCCGGATGTACGTCGGACTGACGCCGGAGCATCGCCGCGCAAACGTCGACCCATAGCTTGCGGAGCTGAAGTGTGGACCAGCTAATACTACTATTACGCGCCGCGCGAGGTCTCCGGGATTGTCCTCGTGAAGGATGGAGTCGGACGCGATGGGGCAGGGCACGGCGAGGGGGCACGAGACCCTGCCGAGGGCCACGCTGCCACAGGAGTGTAAAAAAGGCACGCGGCGCGAGGCACGGGGCACGAGGGTGCGATTGAGCTGGCAGGGGCGACCTACCAATCTGGGCCGACTGTCGTGGATGCCACGACAGTGGACACCCGAACCGCTCGATCGTGGAAGGAAACATGTCAGAGCATGTTCGATAGATGATGAGACTATGCTCCAGCACTTTAATACATACTTACATGTTGGAAACATGCTGTAGACATATAGAAATGATTTGGCAGTATGCCTCCTCTCCAGTGATCATCTTCCACAAATTTAGGAGGCTTGGAAGTGGGCAGCAACACCAACACCGGGGTCTGGCTAAAACACCGCCGACATTGGTGTTGGTGTCAACCTCCAGGCCTCCGATCATGGACATGCTCAAAGCGTGAAAAGGACAGGACGGGTGGTTTGCAGGATCCTTCAGCATCGAATCGGGAGATCGGATCGGGTCGAGAAATGCTTCGGATCGGGCTGCATCGGTACGGAACCGACACCGGATCGGATCGGCTGCGCCAGGATGCACGACAGCGCCATGCAAGCATCGGGGCCCATCGGGCCGTCAGAAGATCGGAATCGAATCGAACCGGGCTGCACAGAGTCGGCATCGACCCGGATCGATCGGATCGGATCGAAGTGGACGGGTGCTTTGGGACGTTCTCGGCCTCTG